TTCAACGGAACACTGCCTCTGCTTTATTCAATCATGTTGAATTAATTATAGTTATGCTTTTCATTTCATGCATAAGCGTAAACGCTAAAAGGTAATAAAAAGACCTAATACCCCTTTTGTTAAAAATCCAATTGACACTACGTTGACAGTGTATAGAGAGATGCGTTTGTAGGGATTCTTTTGTGAGCTGTGATACGCATTCCTCTCCATCAGTTTCTATGATGCAATGGTTAGGCTCTTTGTCAAGTATGAAAAAAATGAGTTCGATCCCCACACAGGGGAGATATTTTATTTGGTACTTCTGTCTTTCGGTCGGAATTTATTCGCAGCAAACCTATGTGATTCACAGCCGGTCCTTGTTGGTAGGATTAAGGCATTTAACTACATGTACTTGCATACTTTAGATAATAACATTTTTAATAATGTTCGACACATACAGATTATGGTATGTTTAAGGTAAAACAGTCTCTATTGTATAATAATGAATGAGGAAGGAGTCTCCTTAAATGCAAATTCGTATGCATAATTCTAACAGCGCGCTCCAGTGATCTAAATACCTAATACTCATTGAGAGAATAGATAGTATCTATGCAAAACGGACTCGGTAGTTAGCCAAACTATTTTGAGTTGTCTGTCAAACAGCATATTTATGATCTCTTGGTTAGCGAAAGCTACATTTGCCCAGGAATGTATTTGCAACTCGTAAAACAATCACGCTTAGAGAGTACAGACGAAAACGAGGGTTCTTGAAGGGTAAAAACAGAGACTCTTAAATATAGTAAAAGTCTAGGTCTATATTCTTCTGTGCTGTCTGCCTGGCTGGCTTAATATCTACCCTTATGACAATGATGATGTATACCTTATTACCTCTAACATCCTGTAACTCTCTGACAAAATCAAGCATATGGAACATAATAGACAGGAGCAACACTGGAAAGGAAAGGTTTAACTCCAGCAAACATATTTTTCTAAATAGCCTTACTGGTGTGATACCCTTCTGTTCCACTATGGAACATTGAAAAGGAAAACCGACAGTACCGTACTGTCCCTCATAATTGAGACATCATATCCCCCTTCCCCCCCCCCTCCCTATGGAATACCCGAGTTGACGGGTGCTCTCAAAACATTTCTCTTTTCTGAAAGCCGAGGACT